TAATGCTGTTATTTGCTAATACCATTAATACCATCTTCTCCCCTTTTCTATCCAAAGATGATTACTGAGAATAATTCCTTTGGAAGACAAGATTTTCCTCTGCCCCTGATGTAGTTAGGAGGTTCTTTGAAGAACATTTAAAGGAAAGCCTTTGCCCTCTAATATCTCCAGCCATGTCTTTGTGCTCAGGTAAAAGTGCTAGCAGTATTCCAGAGCCAGGCCTTGGCAGTTCAGGAGGCCCACAGGGGCAAGCAAGGTTTCTAGACAAGAAGCAGCCTGTATCTTTCCCCACTAGAGCCTGTGACTGGCTGTTGGTACTCCAACAGTTTCTTGTTCTGTTGCTGTTCCATGTAATATCTGCACTGCTAGGGCTTGGTGCTTTGGGATTCACAGGTATTCCCCCCTTTGTTCATTTTTCAGGCTTGTCTTTAGTTCTGAAGTTGCAATAAATGCTCATTGTGCCTGAGAAACAGAAAATGAGATTCTGTCAAATTTCAGTATTTGAATTTATGAACTTAACCAAAATTGGCTGCAGACTTGTCATTGCAATGAATCCTGCTGCATAAAATGCCTGCAGACTTCTTCATGCAACCCTGCTGTGTGAGCATATGTATGTGCGTGACACCGCATCCTTTAGTACTTATGAAAAACATACCAATATTGTATAAATAAGTAGAGATTGATTTTTGCTAAGAACATAAAGATTTATGGAAGTAGGCAGTGCTGTGTGGCAGAAACTACGACAGCAGTTTCTAGAAAAATCTATAAAATATTTTACATTTGAGATATAGAAAAAAATGCCATTAAAAATGAATCCAAATAGACAGGTCCCTTTGTGGAAAATAGATTGTTTCTGGTTGTGGGCAAGGGTAAGTTTTAAAGGCAACTGGTTTACAACAAATGAAACTCTTTGTCCAAATTTGAACACAAATGGCTTCCTTTTAGATTCTGGAGATTTTCAAGGAGGATCTCAGTGGAGCAAGAAGAGTACAGGCTAAACAGCTGCACAATGGCCCTGAGGCAAAAAAATATAAAGTAAGCAAATAGAGAGATGTACCCCTGTCAGGCAGACAGTAAAACTGTGCTGTTGTTTCAAGGTGGAAAAATTACATTCAAAGTTGACTGATTCAGGTCTGCTGGTAACAGCAATAAGTAGAAGCTGTAATAAGGACCATGCAGAGGGTTCCCTGTCCATGATACACCATCCAGACCGAGGGATTGTAGCAGTGACTGAGAAGTACATGTATTCCAGTGTCAGTCCACTTTTACAATGACACACAAGGTAAATCTTGGGACTGATTTAGAAATTGTGCTACAGCAAACACCTCAGCAGCCAGCTCATACAGAGGAAATGCCCAGCCTTAATTCTCCATGACATCATGGTTAACAACTGTCAAGAGTAAGTAGAAAAACACAGTCCAGAAGCATAGTATATCCCAGACACTCTGGAAGGAACATAATCTACAATACCAGAAATACAAATGCAGTCCATATAGCTGATTTCCTCCTATACTGCATGTATTCATAAACTCTGCAGAATACTTGGGCTGTGGCTATGTGTGTTTCTACTCATGTGTGGGCTATACAAAAGGATAAGGGACTTAATATGCTTGATGTGCTAGAGCTTTTTGCTGAAAAGGTCCTATACCTTGGGCAAGGGGAAGAGAACAAGAACTGGAATGGTTTTGGAGAAGAAACATATCAAACGGGGAAAGTTCTGGTGATTCTGTTTGCAGCTCTTAATGATTAGCTGCTTCTATCTTTACAATTAATTCTTTGTCAGTATTACCAGGAATGCCTTCAATTTCCTCCCTGTCCCCCAACGGACTCCAGCTCATTAATATGCAGCTCTAAGCAAGTATTGAAGCTGTCGTGCATTTCAAATCTCCCCAAGGAAGCTTTTTAAAATTGTAAGTAAGACCTGATACTGAGACTTATTAGCACCAAACCTGGAAAAAAAGCTTCTGTGCGGGCAGCAATGACTCTTCAAGTTACAGTTGCTGTCACCTTTTTTTATCCTGAATTTTATTATAAATGTGAATACCTCAAAGGATTTCTTTGATGCAGCCAACATTTCCAACTCTCAGAAACTGCTGTTTGTGGATAGAACTGGGCTTGTGCCAGCATCTCAGATTTGAGTGCTGAAGCTGAACTTCTAGGTCAGATTTAATTGCACCCACACTGAGAAATACTCAGAAGGAATCCAATGAAGGCAGCAGAGGGATAGTACACCATGTCAAATGCACTGCGGTGGGATGGAGAAACTGGAAGTTTGTATACTTGCTAAAAGGTAGGTCATAACACTCCACAGATGTGTCAGATTTAGATCAAGATCAAAGTCCAGCCGCAATGTTTTGAGACCAGCTTTTGCTCAAACCTCTGATACTTAAGCTTGCATCCAAGGTTTGGATCTTGTCCACTTACTTATGTCTGAACAGCTCCATTTTTTCAGCTCTGTCTTCAATTAAGAAGAACAATCAGTCTAACTTCTAAACTGCTAGCATAAATGATTTGCCAGGACTAAGGTGAAGGCAGACTCCCATGACTACAGTTACAGTAACAGAAGGAGCGTGTAAACTTGAAATTGAGAGGTAGCTGTGGAGCTGCCTGCCATTGGCATGTTGGTGATTCTGCTAACTAATCATCTTTAATTAGTGACACATGGAGCGTGAGGTTTTGGTAAGAGGAAACTAAACCAACTTCCACATAAGGGAGCCTACAGAGAGGGAGAAGGCCATTCTTCAACACTTCTCAGAGAGAAAGGTGTTATTCCAGAGAAAGGGTTCTTAGCAGAGCTTTTTGGTAGAGTGATACTATAGTGTCCCAAACATTGTCCAGCACAAAATAACTGGAAAGATTTTAGCAGCAAAATACCTCAAACTGGAATTTGGAATGTCCCTCAGCTTCCGAAAGTGTTCACAACTCAATAAAGCCTTTCTTGAATGACCCAAAATATCAGTAAATACTGACACCTGTCAGGAGGGAGAGCTGATCCAACAGAGCTATTGCCAATAAAGCTGCAAAACTACAAGCTGTGAGAGATGCTCTTCTAATGCACCTTCTTAACAGTTCCCCCAAACCTGAGACATGAGGAAACGCAGGTTTGCTACTGAAACTCTTCAGGCTCAAACGACAATTTCATCACGTCCTGAGGTCCCAATTTCCTGATTAGAGGTGTTCTTCATCCTCACCAGTCCTGACCCTACTTCTCCACTTCCAACCAAACTTAGCCATCAGCTACGGGCCGAGAAAGCCACCCTCCTCTAGAGGGTGTATAGGACCTGTGTATAGGATCCACTCCTTTCCTGGTGGGCTACTCCATCTGCTCCAGCAGCCCTTCAGCCACGCTGCTGGCAGGCACCCAGGCTGCCGCTGCCGCTGCCTCCCGAAGGCCTGGGTGTGAACCCATCTCCTTTGGGATGCTTGCTGCAGCCCTCACTCAGCCGGGCGGCCCTACATCTCCTAGATGGAGTTCCGCCTCGGAAAAGGCACGCTCTGACAGCCCTTCGCAGCCGCGCCGAGGGGAGCCCCGGCACGGCGGACACTCCCCTGAAGGAGGGTCCCGGTGCCGCCCCCTCCCCGCCCGTCTCCTCACGGCCGCCGGCAGAGGGCGCGCGCCGCCTGCCCACGCCGCGGGGCCGCGCCCCGCCCCGCCCCGCCCCGCCCCGCCCGGCTGCGGGGGCTCCCGGGGCCCGGCGGGCGGCAGCGTTCCGGACAGGGATACTGCCGCCAGAGCCGGGAAGGAGCGCAGCCACTCAGCCCGCCTGGGCTCCCACGGGGCGGTGCCCGCCCTCCGCGCTCCCCCAGCCCGGCAGCCGGGGGCTGCAGAGGCGCCGTGCGGCCCTGCCCCGCCAGCCCGCGGTCAGCGCTGCCGCACCGGGGTCCGCCCGCTGCCCCGACCCTCGAGTCTGTGGGGAGAGCGGAGGCCGGGGTGCCGGCCGACAGGGCCTCCCGGTCCCTCCCGGACCCAGCGCGCGGTTTGGAAGGGTCAGCCCACTCCTGCCCGCAGGATTGCCCGCGGGCACGGCGCTGCGCGCGGGGCGACGGTCCCTGGCAGCACACGTGGTTAGGCAGGCATAGCTGGCAGCTTGGGAATTGAAGGTCTGCCGAAAAACAAAGGAAATCTCCCAGCTCGCCACCAGAACTGCCGAGCCCAGAGAAGGAGCAGTTCCACACTGCAGTGCGAGCGGCCCCCCGTCAGCGCCGTGGGGCCAGCGGAGGCTGTACAGCTCTGCACTGCTGCGAGCTCGTACGGCATTTCCCTGCCTTACCTTGTCATCCCTATCACGTCTGCCTACAGAACAAACCACGGGATCTCTGCATGCGGATTTATGTGAAACCTGTTCACATGCAACAGCAGCTGGGGTGCACCTCCTTTTGTTTGCCCGTTTGTTCAGCTTTTTGGGGTCACCTACGTAAACGCACAAGGCACTACCGATGTAGCCTGGCTATCTTGGATGGCATCACTTTTGTCAGCTTTAGATTAAAGCTTTCCTAACCGGATCAGGAATGGCTGTTCCACTCTTAGGGTGATAACACAGTGAAGTTAAAACACAGCAGAGCATCTTACACATCTTTACTATTGTCAGAGTATCTGTGAAGACAGACAAGGACTGGGAGATTCCTTGCTCAGTGATTCTGGTTTTGTTTCCTCACAGCTGTTATGGCCCAGGTACACTAGGGATGCAGGAAGGATGCATTTATATGGAAGTAACAATAGGAGGTTGGAAAGGTGGATGCAAGTCCCCTGTGTGTTCTGCCCTCTCATCTGCATCAACCTATCCATGTTATGACCCTATCAGGGGATCTGGCATTTAGCTCTTTATTGCCTCCATTTCTGAGAAAATGAGCAACTTCTTTTGAGAAGGAAGATTTATTAGAGATGATTTTACTATCTACAGGATTTGAAATAAAAAAGGATATGTAACTAGATACACATGACCATCAAATAGAAATCATAATTAGAAGAGAAAGATTAATAGGGACACGAGTCTGTAGAATTTCATTGTTAAGAGATCAATTTATTATGCCCTTGACTGCAAGTTAAATTAATAACATTTAAAATTACAACAAGGAAAAGAGATGCCAGTGACTGTCATAAATACAGCTGGCTTTTCTTTCCTAGTTATTTAGGGAGGATTGGGAACACTTGTGAATAAAGCCTGAATAGAGGCAACTAACCAATAACTGCGGTGAAAGCAACAAGGTTTTCCCCCGCACCCGCCCGCCTTTGCAAGAACGGGGGGAAATCACAGATGTCAATCAGGAAATACTGCAAAATAAAATGGACCCTCCCGTCAGCCGAGGCACCGCGCAGAGCAGCGGTGAGGCTCTGGCAGTCTGTTCACAGCCGCTAGCCCTGCAGCTCCGCCGCTGACCGGGGAGCGCACGGGGCTCCGCAGCTCGGGTCTTCCCTCCCTTGCAAAACTGTCAGGCACAAATGGGCAGGAGGATATTGGTTGCAAGGGACGCGGAGGCTCCTCCCAGAGACTGGATCCCGATATTTTCGGAGGATTTCTTTTAACTCACTTACAAACCTGGGTGAAGGGAACAAGTTGCCGATATAGCGGAGGCGGAGAGAGCGGCTCCTACTCCTTCTTTCGCCTTCCTAGTGCTACCTTAGATGCTTCGCCTCACTTGCGGATAAGAGCTTGGCTGCCTGCCGGGGGATAGTTCCTGCTCTGGATATTGCTGTTTCTGTGAAAACAAGGGTTGTAAGGGAATGAGAAGGAAGACAATGAAGAAAAACCGACCTGGAGAAAACCCCAGTCCCAAGCGTTTTCCTGAGAACTGACTGGTGTTTTGGGGCTGAGTGATTCCGGCGGAGGCGGAGGAGGGAGCAAGCCTGCCCGCTCCGCGGGGGACTTCCCAGGACCGGCTATTCCCTTCGGATGCGGAGTGAGAAACCTGTAGGAAATTCTCCCGCCTCCCTACGAAGCCACCATGAATTCAGTGGCTGGAAATAAGGAGAGGATTGCGGTCACGGCTCGGAGCAGAAAATACGGGGTAAGTTGTCGGCGGAGGGGCGGCTCGGAGCGGTGGCCGCCGCCGTGCTGGGGCTCCCGCGCCTGTCGCCCGCTGGCTGCCGGCCATCGCCCTCCGGCCCCGCGCAAGTTCCGCGGTGCGGGGCGGTAGAGGCTCCGGGCGGGGGAGGCGCGGGGACCGCCGCAGGCGCGGAGCGTCCGAGCGAAACTTGGTGGCGCCGCTGGGCCTCCCTGCCTGACCCGCTACTCCTTCTCCCGCTCCAGGTGACCGACCCCTGCTCCCCCACCAAGCCCGCCGCTCCCTTCTCCCCCGAGAGCTGGTACCGGAAGGCGTATGAGGAGTCCCGGGCGGGCAGTCGCCCGGCGCCGGAGGGAGCCGGCTCTGCCCTGGGCTCCTCCGGCACCCCGTCCCCAGGCTCCGGCACATCCTCGCCGGGCTCCTTCACCGGCTCGCCGGGACCCGCCTCGCCCGGCATCGGCACCAGCTCCCCCGGCTCGCTGGGCGGCTCGCCGGGCTTCGGCACCGGCTCGCCGGGCTCCGGCAGTGGCGGCGGCTCCTCGCCGGGCTCGGACCGCGGCGTCTGGTGCGAGCACTGCAACGCCCGCCTGGCGGAGCTGAAGAGACAGGCGCTGAAGCTCCTCATCCCCGGGCCCATCAGCAACAAGGTGAGCGCGGGGCCGAGGGGAGCGGGGCATCCCTGTGCCCGGAGCAGCCTCCAGCAGCCGCTGGGGCTGTCGGCCATCTGGGCTCCCCTCTAACGGTGTCACCGCTGAGCGCTTTGGGTTTATTTGTGTTCTCCCCTTCTTGGTCTTGTTCCCTTTTCCCATCCCTTCCTGCTGCTTCGTGTGGAGCAGGGTGCCTCTGTCTCCGGAGGGCTGCCAGGCTTCCGGGGGCATCTGTGATAGTCCCTGCAGCTCGTTTCTTGCCTCCCTCTTTCATTGCACTGGTAGTGGTTCTGTGTTATTTCCTGCGTGCTTGTTTTTTTTTCTAGTGGGGAGTAAGGGAGTCACTGGCCCCTTCCCTTTCTGCTATCTTTGATCCTTACGGGATGGATTTACAAAATGCCCTGAGACTCGGCAGCCAACTTAGTGGTGGTGTATGTATGGTCTGGTGCCAGTGGTCTCTACTTCCATTGAGGGAGAGACCCTCCTGTAGCTCTGGGTTCAGATGAGGCAGTGAAATGCTATGTGAGCCCAAAGGTCACCCAGGGAGGCTGTGGCAGACCATGGCATTGAACCCAGCTCTCCCAGGTGTCATTAAAAGAAGGATAACTTGATGATGCTTCTCTGTTATAGAGAAGTGCTGAATTTTTTTTTTTTTTTATTCTTAAGAGGACTTGAAAATACTTGAAGCTGCTGGACACTGAGCACTGGGTTTAATAATCCTGTGTCTAAAGAGGATGTAAGCATTTCTGATATTTGGCACCAGGTTTTAAGAACTGGCTGATCCTGAATAGAGCTGGAAGTCTGCTTTCTGCCTCTGTTGGGGAATTTGGTACCTCCAAAGGCATACTCTGAAATTCCCAGGGGTTTTTTTGGCACTGTTTTTTGGTTTCCCTGTTTGTTACATAGAAAGATTAAGGCTAACAGCCCTAAACGAGTGACCAGCAGCCCTTGGCTGACCTCATGCTACCAAAATAGTAAGCACCGGGTTCCTCCATAGCAACCCTGTGAGTGTTGCATTGTGAATGGGTCTACAGCTGCTGGAATGTAGTACAATACAATTTTGTTTGCCCTGTTGGGTCCAGGTACTATCAAATGATAATATTTACTCTTCCACTTCAAAGAGTTTTCATTAGTGGTTACAATAAAGAGGTATCGTGGAAAAGAGCCGACTGCTGAGAAAGGATCCCTGGTATTGCTGTTGTGTTGTACTCTCCATTATTTATTTATGTGCTTTTGAGAGGGAGTTGGTGCTCTCATGAACAAAAGGCTCAAGGACTGGTTACCTTGTCTCAAGAGCTGACTCCACGGGATTATTCATGAAAAGGGAAAGGTAGAACCACCAAAATGAATAGTAAATTTAACCATTAATATACATGGTTGATCAACTGTAAAGTGTCCCTGTACCGAAACCTTCACAAATTTCAGGCTGTGTGATTTGGCAGTGATTACCAGCTGTGAACGTGGGTGGGAAATTACTGGTACCCATATGGGAGCCACCAGAATAACAGAGATTAGGGGTGGAGGGGAGGATAAAACTAACATAAAGTCACAGTGTTTAAATAGAAATTTTGTGGTCATGCAAGGGTTTGCACAGTGTTCCCTTATTGCAGTAGTGGTTGACATAGCCCTCCTGAGATGTTACCCTTGTATTACTATTGTTATTTGTTCTGTTGTTCACTAAGTTTAGCTGATGCTGTTGTACAGGCTAGTCTTCATTTGTATGAGTAGTAAGCCTTACTTATCTATTTTTTTTTTTTATTCTTACACCTCCTTTCCAAACCTTCCAGTTCTATAGGAAGGTTGCTATCCAACTATTGCTATCCAACCTGTGCACTTAGAGGCAAGGAAGGAGGCACAAGTAAGGTGGTCTTTGTGGGCTGTGGTGACCCTCTGCCCTATTTGCTATGCTCAGTTGTACTTGCAGGCTCAGTTCTGTTGAGATACTCCAGCCTTTTGCATACAGTTCTTTTCTGTGCATGGGTGCTACTGGCTCTGACTGTTTGCTGAAGTATCCCTTTCTCTCATCCTTTCTGGCTTATTTGTGACTCCTCAGAACCTTCTCACCTTGTGATTTTTTGCCTTCAGCAGGTGCTGCCCAGCAGAGTGAAGCTTTGGGCTAGGTGGTGTGAGATACAAACATCATGGCTAGTGCCATTGGTTTTTTGGACCAGCGGTGTTGGTCTTGCAAGTTTGTTTTTGCTGGTATCATTGGGTAGCTTTTTCAGTGTCTGCTTTGGGGAAAGTAAGGCACTGGCGTGGGCTTGGCCAGTTCAACCAGGGCCTGTAAGCTGCCTTTGCAGGTGTGTGCCACAGTAACACAGTTGCCCTTTGAGGGCAAGATGTAGAGGGTCTCTCAAGAATGTGAAAATCTGTCCGTGTCTGGGGAGAACTTGGATTTGGTTTGGGTTGAGGCAGGGGTCTACTACACTGTGTTTAGTGGAGCTGGCATTTTTTAGGGTCCTGTGAGGTGTGCTCTTGATTGCTGCTATGGAAATAGGTTTTTTGTGTGTGGAATGGATCCTGCCACTTAGTTAAGTGGAAGAAGGAGCAGATCACATTCCTAATTCTGGGTATTCCTTCAGAACTTGCAAAGTGTCTTACAACTCAAGACTGTGGTGCCTACGGGACACAGCTAATTGGCAATATGCCTTTATTAGAACAATTAAATGAAGCATTTAAAATGTATCTGCCATCATCTAGTCACCCAGATCTGACTTACATGTTATGTTTTGTTTTGTTGCTGTTGAAGACAGCCTAGAAATATTATTAGCTGTATCAATACATTCTGTGGCACCTGTTCCTCATTTATACTGTATTTAGAAATACATATGATCTGGGGTATTGTGTATTGCAGAACAAGCAGAATATGAGAGTTTATTTTTTTGTATGTTTTAACATATATCTAGTAGCAGACATTGAAACCTACAGTAATTATCCAAATGTGAACCTACATTGATGTTTTCTATGTATGCAATCACATAAAGGTTTGTGTGTATCTGTAAACTGCAATAGTATACTTAATTGATTCATACACAGACCAGGCTTTATGCATGAAGTTATGTACTGAAGCTTTTCATTTGACTGAAAAAAAGCCACACTTAACCTAAAGCAAACTGCTTCTGACTAGCTGATTGTTAATGCTGAGGTGTTGAGCTTCCAGTTTTAAATAGAAACATTCTCTCCTAATATGTCAACAGGATGAAAACTTGATTTTATTTTTTTTTTTGGGGTGAGGCACAAAGGTGAAGAATATATAATTATGGTTGTGCTAACTTATTTTAACCATTTAAAATGCCAGGTTCCCTGCCAATAGCAAAAAGAAAAGTGCTAAAAGCTTATTGTTTCTTTTTCCTCCTCTTGTGACACAGATGTGACTTACTGATGTTCAGCAATTATGTGCATATAAGGGGTTATGTTTTATGAGAACTAAACCTTATTCTAGCCCCCATGTGAAGCAGGCCTATGGGAAATAACTAGCACAGGTGGTTGGTATAGTTGTGCACTGAGGGTGTATTGGAGCATTTGGTGATGGTTGCTGGTGGGGTTTATGTTACATTTGCATGATGAGAAAGATTGTCTCAAAAATTACTAATATATTTTTTTTTAATTTAACGTTTTTCTTAGGCTATATTTTCAGAAGGGCACTAGACAAAATTCTAGCATAGGAGTTTATGGCATCATATTCCCTATTTATCAGAATTTGTGTGAAATGTGTTTACCTTGAATTCAGTCCTGTGATATCACCTGTCTTCAATGAACACTAACCTCGCAGGCATCTAACAATTGAGGAGTTACTATATTGATGTGTATCCAATTATATTGTGTATAAATAATCAATGGAATGCTAATAAGAATACTCTTCAGCTGATGGTTATACATTTGTTAGTACAGATTCCAAAAACGCTGGATAGAGCATATAAATAAAGGTAATTTGAATGTGTAGATATGAATAGCTGCTTAGGTGTGTTGTGACTGTGTTTGTAAGTAAGGATACTATTTTAAATGGTAAAGATGGATAGCACTGATGTCGTTGGGTGGCTTATATTGTGGACTATCCCATAGCTAAAAAGTCTGTGCTTCTGAATATAAGAATTGGGTAAATTCTGAGCACAGTGTGTCTGTGATGAAGGAAGGAAAGGACTTACACTCAGTGTAAAGTTTTGGTTTTTTTCACCAATTTACTGACACTGTCCCATTTTTTGCTTGCATATTGTTGAATTACCTGTTCTTTCAGGAGTGCTCAATGGTCAAAGACTTGACTAATAATTATTAATAATGAAGAAAGCCCCGAAGCTGATCTAATGAAAAATAGGTTCCCGTTAACTTGTAGCTACTTCAAAAACATTCCCAGTAGAGACAGGACAGTAATGAACCCTTCCTCAAAGCTTAGTGAGTGGCAGAATAATGGAATGTCATTTCTGTCCAGACCTTTAATTTGTGAACAAGCACAGCCTGTCTGTATGGTGACTTAATTCATTGTGCAAAAAATCTCAGGCACCTAATCATTTCATCCCAACTCATTGTAATGCAGATAGGATTATTGCATTAGAAATGTGATTTTAAATGGCCTGAGGCAGTAATTTGTCAGCATTTGGAAGGATTAACTCCATTAAAGTTTAGGCAACAACAACCATTCTTTTGTGTTGCATCACAGGTCACAATACCAAACATTTAGCATAACTCATCTGTGAATCTTCTTACAAGTGTATGCTTCCTGGCAAGTTGGGAAGCCATGAGCTACTGCACTTGTGTTGGAATTACAGCTGCTTGCAGAGCTCCAGAGGAGACAAACGGATATACCTTCACCTCTCATGAATTAATGTAAACCCTTTTCTAAGAGCAGCTGGAAGTCTTGCTGCTGCAGTCCCCAGTGTCAACATGTGAAATAGTTATATAATTTCTTTCAAGCTTGCAAATGTCTTGGAGGTCATAGTGAAGATACTGTATATTAAAGACTGCTCTTTAGAAAGCTGTCAAAACTGTTAGCTCTGCAGCTTTCT